ATTTCATGATGCTAAGTTGAAAATTCAAGAGGTATAAGTTGAAATTTTGAGGCGCTAAGCTGATTTGTTTTGTCCGTTGAAGCCTTGTAGTTATGGCTTCCGTATGACTGGGATGTAGAACATACTTAAGGGATATTACTGACTAGTTTGTGTATTTAAAGTGGATCTCAGTCGGTGTTGATGTACATCTGCCCACGTTCCCAAGTTTTAGTTGGTCTGTGTTATGTACTGAGCGTTAAAACTTTATGAATGTTCCGCCCAGGGAGAGAGAAGTAAATTGACTCAATGATAAGAAGCTGTTATGTAATATTACACGTTTGTGTGTACCAGTATAATATAACTTCTAAAGTCAGCTGCTCATTATGGTAGAATAGCAATAAGTACTATTTATCTAAGTGATATGAATTTTGAGAGCATCGGTGGTATAAATAGCAGCCTCAATTCAGGTTACCTGACAGATAAGAAAAACCGAATAAAGACTGGTCACTAGTACATACTTCCCTCGGCCATTTTAGGGTAAGATATGTTCACTTCATAGATTGTATGTTCTTAAATTATATTCTTACTTTCTTAAATTGTTTGTTGTTTACAATATAATCGACATTGTCCGTATGGAATCACTGATTAAGTAAATCAGTGAGCTAATTATTATAGTTGGGACACACCATGAATCTCTAACTATATGATATATGTTAAAATAGCATCAAATATAATATATAATAACGTTTAGACATTCATATTTTCTCCAGATTATAGCATTTTATTAAAAATGGCTCGTAGAAGCAAAGTCATTCTTGTGTGTGTTGTTAATTTAAAAAAATTATATTGTATGTTCGCATTTTAATAATTAAAAGTGTGGGTTCAGTTCAGATGACTCAAAGTACCTTCAATCTAATTAATACGTAAAACAATGTATACACATGTATTAATGTCAAACGTTAGTCCAATAGGTTAGCGAAACAAGTCCTCAAGAGCCGGAACATAAAACTGACTTTCAAAAGAAAGTACACACCTGATTCTTTGGTAAAATATTTTCTTTGAAACAGCATTAATATTTAAAAAGTGTTTTGATTCTGCCCTGTCACAAACATTGTGCAAGTGTTTCCAAAACACCAGATATTGTACCCAATTACAACATTGCTAGAAAAATATTTATTTTCTAGGGGGGAGGATAGCCCCAAAATACCAGGTGTGTACTTTCTTATATACGTCAGTATAGATTGTTCAGCTTGATTTTCAATTGAAAATTGGACCGTTCATAATGTATGGCTAGGAGGGTTTTGTGGGGTGGGTGTGTGTGTGAGGGATGATGATTTTTATGAACAAAATGGGTGACCCCTCCCCTATAGGCAATGGGAATGGCTCTCAGAGCTGTGGCATGACAGGGGACACGTGATTGGTAACACATTACGCACACTTCGTCTTTGTACAGAGAGCTACGTCAGCACTGTTTTAGACAGATCACAACGTAGTATATTCGCAAAATGTCGTTGTGGTGCATTACCTTTACAGGTTGAACTTGGCCGATTTAAACGACCTAAGACCCCTTTGGAAGAACGCATTTGCAGTAAATGTAACAGTAGTGACGTCGAGGACGAAATTCATTTCTTGGCACGCTGTAGTTTTTATTCGGATATCAGATATGTATGGTGGCTCATTCGGGCCATCGCTTTATCGCCCTGAAAAATGTAGGCGACATCGCGACAAAGCGATAGTACGACACGACATTGCGATACGGCGACACGATACAGCGATATTGCGATACAGACAGAAAACGATATGGCGATAACACGACACGATATGACGATAATACGACACGACATGGCGATAACACGACACGATATGGCGATAACACAACACGATATGGCGATAACACGACACGATATGGCGATAACGATATGGCGATAACACGACACGAAATGGCGATATGATGTAAGATAAAGCGATGGCCCGAATGAGCCACCATAGATATGACTTAATGAACGCTGTCACGGCAGTATACCCTTCCTTTACCCAGTACATCCCTGTTGACCAGGTCAATCAAGCAAGACAGCAAGTTTATTAAACAAGTAGCCGCCTTACTCTTACGCATGTTTAGCCGTCGTCAATTCACAATTTAACTTACCTCTTCACTTTTTAACTCCACCTTGTTGTCCTTTTAACCTCGGGGATCAATTTCGCATTCCCAGTAATATTACACTATTTTAATAGCTGTTAGTAATTTATTATCTAATTTTAACTGTTGTCTCTAAATGCAATATAGTGTCTCACAGGCCGGATTGGCCGGATGTTGTACTCAATATTATGCCTATATTTTATTATGCCTTTTATGATTTAAAACATTAGACACTTTAATAAACAATTTTCTTCCTCTTCATCTTCTTCCTCTGTAACAGCTTGAGTGTTCAGTTATATTTTCAATTGAAAACCGTTTATAATGTATGGCTAGGAGGGTGTGTGGGGTGGGGTGGGTTGTGTGTGAGATGATGATTTTTATTAATAAAACGGGTGACAACACCCCCCCCTATATATATATTATACTGAACATCATTGAAAACGCACCACCTGTATTAGTTTGGATTTCCAAGAGCATAAATGAGCAATCGGTGTACAGTTTACATATTTTTGTAGTCCAATGATTGGTAAAGAAAAGAAACAAGAACCAATCCAGCAAAACAGTGAAGTTTTAATTCAGCTGACCATGAAAGAAAGATGGAGTCAAATTGGAAAGTCAGTAACGTGTATGGCCACCGTTAGCAGCAACACAAGCTGTGCAACGTCTCCTCATTGAACTGATAAGTCTCTGAATAATGTTTTGAGGCAATGCATTCCACTCTTGTTGCAAGGCATTCTCAAGTTCCCCAAGGTTGTTGATCTGTGGGCGACGTGAGAGGCGTTGGCCGTTGTAATTCCACAAGTGTTCAATGGGAGACAAATCTGGTGACAATGCAGGCCATGGAAGTAGAGTTGTAATGTTGTTGTTTGCCAGAAACTGTGTTGCAACACGTGCAGTGTGCGCTCGAGCATTGTCCTGCTGGAATGTGTGCAGATCTTGATGTTGGTTAAAGAAGGGAACGACGTTTTTCTGAAGAATGTTGTCACGGTAGTAAAGGACATTCACTCTGCCACGACAAACTACCAGAGGGGTTTTGTGATGATAACTGATCTACCCCCACACCATAATGCTGCCTCCACCCCACCGATCTGTTTGCACAACACAGTCCTGATGGTAACGTTCTACCCGTCTACACCATACCCGTAGACGCCCGCCAGCATTTCGCAAGTGAAAACGTGACTCGTCGGAGAACACAACACCATGCCAACGTCGTAACAACCACAGACGATGCTGTTCAGCCCATCGTCGGCGTTCACGGCGATGTCTATCAGTCAGGATGGGTCCAACATAACGGCGTCGACACCGTAATCCTGCCGCACGGAGACGGACGGTGGAAGCACTGATCAGACCACATCGGCCTTGGACAGCGTTGGCGGTTTATGGCAGCTGGCAACGTACGATCCCGAATATGGCGCCGAACAATGTCTCGATCTTGGCGAGGGGTGGTAACACGTGCCTTGCCAGGTTGGCGGTCCCTGGTGGTTCCTGTTTGTTGGTACCTGTTGGCAAGTCTTATGATGGTGGAATGATAGCAACCAAATCGTCTGGCAATAATCCTCCTTGATGTGCCAACCTGCAACATGCCCAACGCCCGTTCTCGTTCCTCTGGTGACAATCTTGGCATTGCAAAATAAACTTTACTTGCGGAGGTACAGCTAAAATTAGAACAGTTTTACGCATGCAATTCGTGCTTTTCGTGTGTGTTGTGCATGAATTTTGTTGTTGTCATGTGATGTGTTCCATGATGTGTTTGGGCAATCCGTCCATTACTGTACAGCATTATTTATTGTCTTTTGTGTTATTAACAACATTTCCAACGTTCATTTTCACTCTCAAAACAATCCTATTACCATATTTCAAAATTTACAGGTGGTGCGTTTTCAATGATGTTCAGTATATATAAAATTATCATCACCGCCCCAAGTCATAAGTTATGAACGGTTCCTTATATCCATAACACTTCAAATAACCTCTTCATCTCCCAAAGTCACATTTCATTGATACTTTCCCCCTTCAGTGAACAGACAAGCAGCATGGCGGCGAACACCCCGAACACGTCACTACCGTCGTCGAGAGAGGAGCGAGATGAAGACAGCCCAACTGATGACCAAACTCCGGTCTTTCTTCTACCCAGTGTGGGTGAGTCACTTACCAAAAGCGATGGATTTATTCAGGCAGGTGCTCACAAACTTTTCATGGCAAAATTACTAACCGTCCTAGTGCCAAAGTTGACATTTGAGTTTACTTAAACACCTTGGTCTAGGAGCCAGACCCCCAAAATGGTGAAAATGTGGTGCAGTTCTGGCGACCGAATGGGATGTCATGTTTCACAATCAGGATTGATTTAATTTTGATTTAAAGCCGTTTGTCATCATTGCGTGACAACCGTGCAGGGGCCCTTTTATGGTGCAACATATCATTTCAGTTATGGTAATATTTTAATCGATAAATGGATGGTTTAATTTAATAACTTTGGTTTTGATTGACCGATTTTCATCAAAATAGTAGTTTTGGAATGCTCAGATCATTATTTAAAAATGTGGACAATAATATTATATATATGCTCATCGCAAAACTATTTTAAACGGTCAAAGGTCAATTAAAATAAAAAAGTGCATTTGGTGTGATTTCAGTGAGTGAGTTTAGTTTTACGCCGCACTCGGCAATATTCCAGCTATATGGCAGCGGTCTGTAAATAATCGAGTCTGGACAAGAAAATCCAATGATCAACAGCATGAGCATCAATCTGCGCAATTGGGAACCGATGACATGTGTCAACCAAGTCAGCGAGCCTGACCACCCGATCCCGTTAGTCGCCTCTTACGACAAGCATAGTCACCTTTTGTAGCAAGCATGGGTTGCTGAAGAAATATTCTACCCCGGATCTTCAATTAAAATTAAAATTAATTAAAATGACACTACATAACAGAAAGCTCTTAAATGCATAATTCTAAACTGACAGCTTAGGAAACGTTACCACTTTGAAATTTAAATTACCAAAAGTTCCAAATTCAGCTGCAATTACCATCACATGAAAACACATCGCCCAAACGCAACAATGAGTTTTCCACTTGGAAAAATGGCATGTTAAAACGGGAAGTTTCATTGTTGCGTTTTTATGAGTCTTATAACTTGACATGTTATTGTTAAAAATACATTTTGTTTTATGGATCTATCTTTTGTGGTTATTTCACATTAGGGTTTTTAATCTATGGTAGCGTTTCTGTAGCCCGTCAGTTTCTTATTCCAGAGGAGTCAGTCATGACATCATAACGCAAGCAACATTGGCTTCAGTTCGTATCTATTGTTCTTAATAGTCATAATGTATTCCAAGTCAATCAACAATGCCAACATCACGGGAACATGTTTCAGATCCACATCAACATGTTGAAGTATACAACAGGTTTAACCTCTTACAGTTGCACCTTCCTGCACATTGACGTTTACAAGCACAGATATGTAGTTGAAGAAGGTCCACGGAAACGAAAATTATTTGCAACTTAATCACAGAGGAATATTTTACGAAGATCTATTACGACAGAAACGTATTGCTTTAAATACAAAACATTAAGTGCCTACTTTTATGGACAACGCAAATATATTCCTAGATAATATTTATATAAACATTCTGCTTAAAAAATCTGAAGGCCTCAGTTTTAGCAATATCTAATGATATACACAAAAGAGTTACACATAACATGGTCATGGCACTATGAGCATCGATCTTCGCAAGTGGGATACGATGGCATGCATCAAACAAGTAAGTGAGAACGACATGGGTTGCTGAAGATCAATTTTGACCCAGATTGTTTTACGGAACCAACATATTTGTGAACCTGTGAGAATGGTTAATGAATATATGCATAGCCAGTTTCATGTTATGGATTGTAGGTCATTCCAAACGCTATTATAGACAACACACTGTATGTCAAAGACAAGAGTTTGTTTATGGATGTCAACTTCTTTATTGTGATGGTCACGACGTTTCGACTAACTTCTTCATCAGGTGGATGAAACAATTAGGAACAAACAGCTATATACGTACATGTTGAAACAACAACAGTATAACAAAGGAAACCAGTAGTTAATTGGTGGATGGACAAGTGGAAGCCAGGGATTGTTAATCCAGGCATGATTGATAAGAAAAACAAATAGAAGCCAGGGGGTTATAATTAGCAATGCCTTGGGTGGATGGACAAAAGGAAGCCAGGGATTGTTAATCCAGGCGTAGTTGATGGGATGCCCCGGATATGCTTATTGGTTTTTCAAGACCATACAATGTTTCTGAATTTCCCCCACATTAAACAGCTGTTGTAAGATCCAATATTCAACTTGCACGCTGTGTAGGCTTTTTATGGCATTTGTTGTTGTTTTTTCCGTGTGTTCGTTTCTTTGTCTCTTGTTGCATTTGTATGGGCTGGGGCTATTCGTGATGAAATCCATCTAAGCAGGATAAATTGATTATTATCACTAACACGGAAGTAGGGAATTAAGTGACCTAGGTTTGTTTGTACTATAAGCTCCCGTTTCTCTCTGGTGACTTGAGTTTGCGTGTGTTAGGTAGGGCAAAATGTGCTAAGATTTTCCGCAAACATACTTCAAATGAAGATGGGTGTCTTCTTGGTATCTTATTCTCCTTATTGGTGAAATGCCACAAAATTACATCCTGATCACTATATTTAATCATGGCTAAGTTTTTTAAAAATGTTTGCGTTAATGCCTTGATACGTCTCGAGACCTCCAGATAACCTGCAGCGTTGCTAAAAATACTAAATCAATACATTTGAAAACAAGCATACCTCAAAGAGTGAGCGAGTATAGTTTTTCCCCCGCACTCAGCAATATTGCATATATATGGCGGCGGTCTGTAAATAATCAAGTCTGGACCAAACAATCCAGTGATCAACAGCATGAGCATCGACCTACGCAAGTGGGAACCGATGACATGTGTCAACCGAGTCAGCGAACCTGACCACCCGATCCCGTTAGTCGCCTCTTACGACAAGCATGGGTTACTGAAGGCACATTCTAACCCGGACCTTCACGGGTCTGCGATATCAGGGTGGTACTTTAAAATGATTGTGTTCATTTATGTCCAGTTTTTTAGATAAACCTGATTTTTATAAATTATGTATTATATTCAACAATCCTAATCTTTGTTACGTTATAACAATACTGTGTGTATGTACCTGTGAGTAATGCAGCTTTCAGCAGGTTTCGCTCATAAGTATTTTACAGATATTTTGTTATTGATTGAATGCAGGAATCGTGAATCAAGAACTGCATTTTGATGGTATAATGCACGAAACGTGTGGCAAATTGTAATGTTGTCGTCAGTTAACACCCAGTAAACCAGGAGAGAGAGATAACATATTGCATGACCTAAACAAATATCAAACCCCAACTTGAATGACAACATTTAAGCCTGTAACATCTGTAGCTCTTTTCTCCAACTCACATTTGTCTACCAGAACTGACAATGGGTTGAAGCGAAGTGATTAAGTCTGTGACCAAATGAAAACCTGTCTGCTTGCAGAACAATGTTTTGCTTAGCCAGGCCCTCAACGGAATGAACCTTGATTCCAATGGCTTCAGCATATGTGAAAAACGCAATGTGAACCCAGTTTACCTGTGACTATTTCGTTTTAGTACTCGTAACATGAGCGTATAAAAAGTGTTCAAATACGTTCCCTTGATATTCGGAATCATGTACAAGTGTTTAGCCATGAAAATATTTGAAAATTTACAAATGTTTCCCACCTAAGGACATATTCATATTTCGAACCCTAGTAAACTTAGAAAAGAATCGGAAATTACATCACCTATTACAATCAATATAAATGTATTGGAAATACTGTATAATTAAGCATTTCAGAGGTATATGAGGTGTGTGTATATGTGGTGGTAGGATACCAATAAGCGTTTCTGCATCAGTGTGTAATATCTTTTACAATGTATTAATGATTGCCGGTGTAAAATAAAGCAAGAATTCGACATATTTCACATTGCAAACACTAAACAAATTGTCACCAGCTGTTGTTTCTGCCAGACTGTCAACAAGCAGAAATTTGTATGATTGTCCAACGCTATCTTCGACATATTTGGTATCTATACTTTGTAAAACAATTATCTTGCTGATCTAAATACAAAGTATCTTGCTGATCTAAATACAAAGTACCAACTTTTGTTTCCTTGTAATTGGTTTTCATGCATACAGTGCCATTCAAATGTATATGTGATCTTCAAATGATATAGCTGAATTAGAAAAACATAATTTTGGTAAAATAACATTTAATTTGTATTAGAGCGTCCGCCCGGAGATCCCCGACCGCGTCATACCAAAAGACGTTAAAATATGGTACTTGTTGGTCCCTGCCTGGCGCTCGGCATTCATGGGTACAACAAGGACTGGTCGGCTCTGAGTCAGTATAATGTGTCTGAGTGGGGTATCCATGCTTCACTGCGGCATGGTATCACAGTGGGCTAGCACTATAAAACCAGCTTAAGTCTGGGCTAGTACAAGCAGCCGCACATACACATACACACGCATGCACGTCGTCATATGAGTGAAATATTCTCAAGCACGACGTTAAACCCAATTTCACCTCACCTCACCTCACCTCACCTCACTTGTTTGCATGAAGATATCCACCATAGCACCACATATCGATTATGGCATCGATATACCCGCTTCAATTCGACCCAAGATCGTCCCAGAAGTGGAAGACCAAGAGTAACCAATCCTGCTCATCACCGGTTCATCCGGGTGTTTCACCTACGTACCGATTTGCTATAGCAACGGACACTGCAGGACAGGTGCCTGGTCTTCGAAGAATGTTCGACCAACCCATCAGAAAACTTCTGGGAGAAGCGAGAATCCGAGCATATCGACCAAACTTTGGAACTGTCCTGACACTACACAGACAACGACGTGTCCAATGGTACAACAGGGTACAGGCATGGCACCTGGGAAACTGACGACGCGTTTGGTTCAGTGATGAATTGCGTTTCCTGCAACGACGGGATGGGGGACAACGTGTCTATCGACGTCTTCACGAACGTTTTGCGCCGAACTGCGTTCGTCAGATGGACGTACTTGGTGAAGGAGGCGTAATAGTTTGGGGAGCCATGTCCTACAAGGGTAGATCAAAGCTATTGGTGGTTCAAGGCAATCTTACAGCAAATTGCTACATCAACCGAATCCTGCGACCTGACCTCCTCCCAAAATTTAACCGCCAGAGGGAGCTGTTTCAACACAACGCTCGACCCCACACAGATTACAAACCGTCGCCAATGCAAACGTCAATGTCCTTCCCTCCCCTTCGAAATCGCCTGAAATGGGTGTCGTATAACTGCGTGCGGGCGTGAGGAAGCGGACCCTACAATAGTTACCTAATCTTGGCCTGAATGGTGTAAGCCCGGAGTCTGCATCCGTAGAGGGTCGCTAAGTCAAGGAGTGAATATGGAATCCTGGAAGGGATATTGTCGCGTTGTCGCATTGTCGCGTTGTCGCGTTGTCGCCCTCTCAAATACAAGCAAAATTAACTAAAACGCGACACGCGACATCGCGACAACGCGACATTTCGCCCATTTGTCGCATTGTCGCGATGTCGCGTGTCGCGTTTTGAATAATATTTTTATTCCTCCAAAGGGCGACACGACAATTTAGCGACAATTTTCGCAAAGGTCAAAATATGTCGCGTTTGGAGGAATAAAAAAATATTATTCAAAACGCGACATGAGACATCGCGACAATGCGACAAATGGGCGAAATGTCGCGTTGTCGCGATGTATGTCGCCTCACTTTACTTGTTTTGAGAGGGCGACAATGCGACATAGCGACAATGTCCCTTTCAGTGAGGGGTTGGGACTACCGTGACTCTACTTGTCAAATTCATAAAATATGTACAAATTAAACAAAACGGCGACATCGCGGACACGCAGAATCAAAGCGACAATTTTCAAGGTCAAAATAAAAAAATATTATTCAAAACGCGACACGAGACATCGCGACAATGCGACAAATGGGCGAAATGTCGCGTTGTCGCGATGTCGCGTGTCGCCTCACTTTACTTGTTTTTGAGAGGGCGACAATGCGACATAGCGACAATGTCCCTTCTCGGATTCCATAAGTGAGGGGTCGGACTACCATGACTCCTACTTGTTCACATCACATTCCTGCACTGGCGCACATTCACATCACATTCCTGCACTGGCGCATATTCATACAATGATTAACGAAACACCAGGTTTTATACTCACATAGGTTTACCTTGTCTCAGTCTGCCTCTGTCAATATAACTTCAACATAAGACTGGGACACTGAATGACGGCGATTCGCCTCGGTCGATTGGAAAGCCTGTACCACTCTACTCGTGTTATTATAATGGTATCTTATTTAACGGTTCGAGCCCAACCTGGTCTTGATATGTCCCAATACATCGTTTCGATTATTTGAAAGTTATATCTGATCATGAACTCATGATTGGAGAAATATTGCAAACTACTCACCTGTGATTCGCTGCTTTAACAGTCTTATATGCATTCTGTTACTCACGATTATTATGTTTTATATCTTTTGATTTATTACAAAGTACCGACAGCATCAATTCCATGACGATAAAATTGAAAGTCTAAATAAAGAATTTGTTGTAATGTTCTTATGTTTTAGGAATGCATTTCCACATTATAACATTGGTTTCACACATACACATTTGGGGAATCGAACCCAGGCCCTCGGCGTGACGAGCGAACGCTTTAACCACTGGGCTACCCTACCGCCCCACACAGCTTTTAAAGGATTGATATTAGTCCTAACATTTAATTTGTATTAGAGCGTCCGCCCGGAGATCCCCGACCGCGTCATACCAAAAGACGTTAAAATATGGTACTTGTTGGTCCCTGCCTGGCGCTCGGCATTCATGGGTACAACAAGGACTGGTCGGCTCGGAGTCAGTATAATGTGTCTGAGTGGGGTATCCATGCTTCACTGCGGCATGGTATCACAGTGGGCTAGCACTATAAAACCAGCTTAAGTCTGGGCTAGTACAAGCAGCCGCACATACACATACACACGCATGCACGTCGTCATATGAGTGAAATATTCTCAAGCACGACGTTAAACCCAATTTCACCTCACCTCACTTGTTTGCATGAAGATATCCACCATAGCACCACATATCGATTATGGCATCGATATACCCGCTTCAATTCGACCCAAGATCGTCCCAGAAGTGGAAGACCAAGAGTAACCAATCCTGCTCATCACCGGTTCATCCGGGTGTTTCACCTACGTGTACCGATTTGCTATAGCAACGGACACTGCAGGACAGGTGCCTGGTCTTCGAAGAATGTTCGACCAACCCATCAGAAAACTTCTGGGAGAAGCGAGAATTCGAGCATATCGACCAAACTTTGGAACTGTCCTGACACTACACAGACAACGACGTGTCCAATGGTACAACAGGGTACAGGCATGGCACCTGGGAAACTGACGACGCGTTTGGTTCAGTGATGAATTGCGTTTCCTGCAACGACGGGATGGGGGACAACGTGTCTATCGACGTCTTCACGAACGTTTTGCGCCGAACTGCGTTCGTCAGATGGACGTACTTGGTGAAGGAGGCGTAATAGTTTGGGGAGCCATGTCCTACAAGGGTAGATCAAAGCTATTGGTGGTTCAAGGCAATCTTACAGCAAATTGCTACATCAACCGAATCCTGCGACCTGACCTCCTCCCAAAATTTAACCGCCAGAGGGAGCTGTTTCAACACAACGCTCGACCCCACACAGATTACAAACCGTCGCCAATGCAAACGTCAATGTCCTTCCCTCCCCTTCGAAATCGCCTGAAATGGGTGTCGTATAACTGCGTGCGGGCGTGAGGAAGCGGACCCTACAATAGTTACCTAATCGTATTTCCGCGCCATCTTGGCCTGAATGGTGTAAGCCCGGAGTCTGCATCCGAAGAGGGTCGCTAAGTCAAGGAGTGAGTATGGAATCCTGGAAGGGATATTGTCGCGTTGTCGCCCTCTCAAATACAAGCAAAATTAACTAAAACGCGACACGCGACATCGCGACAACGCGACATTTCGCCCATTTGTCGCATTGTCGCGATGTCGCGGGTGGCGTTTTGAATAATTTTTTTTTTTATTCCTCCAAAGGGCGACACGCGACATAGCGACAATTTTCAAGGTCAAAATATGTCGCGTTTGGAGGAATAAAAAAAAATATTATTCAAAACGCGACACGAGACATCGCGACAATGCGACAAATGGGCGAAATGTCGCGTTGTCACAAATGGGCGAAATGTCGCCTCACTTTACTTGTTTTTGAGAGGGCGACAATGCGACATAGCGACAATGTCCCTTCTCGGATTCCATAAGTGAGGGGTCGGACTACCATGACTCCTACTTGTTCACATCACATTCCTGCACTGGCGCACATTCACATCACATTCCTGCACTGGCGCATATTCATACAATGATTAACGAAACACCAGGTGTTATACTCACATAGGTTTACCTTGTCTCAGTCTGCCTCTGTCAATATAACTTCAACATAAGACTGGGACACTGAATGACGGCGATTCGCCTCGGTCGATTGGAAAGCCTGTACCACTCTACTCGTGTTATTATAATGGTATCTTATTTAACGGTTCGAGCCCAACCTGGTCTTGATATGTCCCAATACATCGTTTCGATTATTTGAAAGTTATATCTGATCATGAACTCATGATTGGAGAAATATTGCAAACTACTCACCTGTGATTCGCTGCTTTAACAGTCTTATATGCATTCTGTTACTCACGATTATTATGTTTTATATCTTTTGATTTATTACAAAGTACCGACAGCATCAATTCCATGACGATAAAATTGAAAGTCTAAATAAAGAATTTGTTGTAATGTTCTTATGTTTTAGGAATGCATTTCCACATTATAACATTGGTTTCACACATACACATTTGGGGAATCGAACCCAGGCCCTCGGCGTGACGAGCGAACGCTTTAACCACTGGGCTACCCTACCGCCCCACACAGCTTTTAAAGGATTGATATTAGTCTGTCCCACAGTCCCTGAACCACATTATCTCCCCTATTGCCAAGCCCTCTCTGCAGTGCTAAAGCCCTAAATAAAGCAAGTCTACATTTCCTCAGGTTCTGAACCTCTGGTCTCCCTGGGGCTCCTTTTCAATTTAAATGGGCTTGTTTGTTACTATCAAAATTATATATATTCAGAGACTAAGCGTTAGTCTAGATTGATATGTACATGTGTTCATACATGTATATGCATTGTATGCAATTTTGTTTCTATTTGTTACTTTGAAATCTTACACTTGAAAACACCAATTTGTTGCTAAAACCAAACCTTTCTATGAACACTAGGTACGCGTTATTGATCTCATGGCCTATAGCAGGACATATAAGTAACTTATTTCCGTCAATGCAACAGACTGACGGAAGATCCGGTGAACGCGTCTGTTTTATTATCAGCCCCAGATATCAAGGACTCCACTGACAACAAACACACTGGCTATGCAAGGTAATGTGGAAAGTTCACTGGATTGAGACATAGTTTGGACAATTTCTTATACATCAGTCTAACAACATGCTGTACTATGGCGTCAGTAGATGGTATAGTCTAACAGCATGCTGTACTATGGCATCAGCAGATGGTATAGTCTAACAGCATGCTGTACTATGGCATCAGCAGATGGTATTGTCTAACAGCATGCTGTACTATGGCATCAGCAGATGGTATAGTCTAACAGCATGCTGTACTATGGCGTTAGGAGATGGTATAGTCTAACAGCATGCTGTACTATGGCATCAGCAGATGGTATAGGTTTTAATTCCCTAGGGCATTTCGGCATACATACGTTTTGTATGTCACTCGGTACGGGTAAAGTTTAGTGGCTAACTACCCATCATGTTGACTTGATGCTTCGAGGGGCATACGAAGCTGAAATTTCAACATCAGTCTTGAAATTTCAAGTTAGTACCTTGATATTTAAAGATAATATTTGGAAATTTCGAGTTACTAATTTCAGCTTGATGTGTATCTTGAAATTTCAACTTGGAAAGCGAAGAAAGGAAAGACACCAAAAGGCTTCTGTAATTTCAAGCATCCTGCGAAAACATTTCACGGGACGTTTGGTGTTTGATAGCCTTAGCTACTGCTATGGTGTTTTGTGTAAATACTTTGTTATTCTAATATTGACTTCATGAGGGATTCTGGTTCAGAATGTATCTCTGATATCTCATGGAGATAAAACGAACAATCAGGTTCTTGGCTCAGTAAGAGCCATCTTATCACAATGGCGCATGGCGTTGCCCTTGACATCAGCTGCCTGCCTCAGATTTAAGATTTACAAGTCGTCTTGGTATAACTAGAATAAAATAAATACCAACAATGTACAACTGATATCATATTATTCAATATGTACAGGTCGTACAGTACAGAATTCGGACAATTATAACATATAATACATCTTCTGTACATCTCTGAATTATAATGATTGAATCTGGAAATACACAACAGTAAGTAAAAAAAACCAATCCTCAACTCGAAAACATATGCCTGTCCTTGTTTACATGAATTTAACATATTTGCCGTATCACAAAGATCAGTATACAGCAGTTGACTTGAATCGCTGAGACCGGGATGACAGATTATTAAATGAAATGCAGCTCCGTATTGAAGAACAGCTGTTAAAGGATTGATATGAACGCATCGATGAAATGTCTCACCATATATAGAATATTCCTAATACAGAACATTTCACGCAGTCAATAATAATAATATTGAACAGTGGACCATATGGTTCTTTGGAACTGTTACGTTGAAGCATCCGAAGGTGTTTCTTGTAGGACGATGTTTCAGCCAAGACAACACAGGAGTCTGCAGACTGTTTCCACTCTGCCTTAATTAACAGCCGTCGAATCTCCTTTTCAAGTCCAGTCGTGCTTTCTGTATCCGTTATTGACACCTTATGTGAAGTCAATAAGAATTATCCAAGTACCAACCACTATTGGAATCTCGGCTATTTCTGGTCTGGGTAACACCTGAAAATTCATCTTCCAATTTACTTCTTTGAGTGGCAGTTTTAGAAGTTGAAAGTCAGATAGAACAAGTATATATGGATGACAACTTCTTTTATTCTAGAGCACGACGTTTCGATACAGGTTCTTGTATCGTTTTCAAGTGAGGAAAGGATACAACAACCTATATACTAGCCACATAAAGAAACTGTGCACACAGAAAATTCCTTCAGAATTGGAATACAACACAGAAAGGACGAAATGATGTAGACACTTTAAAAGCTGAAGTATCGGACCACAAGAAGATGTGGAAAGAGCAAGAACAATATCCGTAACGATGACGTCAGAAGTTCAAAATCGAGTATGGCGTCACACGACGAAGTCACAAAGTCAATAACGGGTATGACCACCATGTGCGTGAAGCACAGCAGTGCATCGACGACGCATACAGGCTCCTGAATGAGCATTGAAGGCCTGGGAAATGGTCTTGGACGTGGTCACTGCCGTCTTGAACCTGTGTCTGAGATGAGTCACCCGAATCCATCTGTCCTGTCTTGGCGCCGTTACGTCGGGGACGCCCATACCGTGGGTGGTCGGCGACGTCATTAGTGTTTCCATAACGCCTGACCAATGCAGACATCGTGTTACGATGGCATTGGAAATGTGCTGCCACCTGTTTTTGGCTCATTCCTGCTCGAACCATTCCATTGGCTTCATGACGTTGAGCAGATGTTAATCTTGACAATATGTGCATGTGTCTTCTCATGTGAATTTGTGAACGTTTGAATGACCAAAGATCAAGCTTTCGACAGTGACAGCAATTTCTGAGTTTCACATGTTGTGTGCAGCTGCACGGGCTGCACGTGCAGTAACACATTGCAAGTCCATAGGCCACTATCAATGACGTCACGTCGCCTGACACGTGCATGAGCGTTTGATTGTCTCCAATACTTGCTATGTTCACACCTGTATTTATGTATAAAGACGCTGTGTGCCTATATCTACACTTTCTGTGTGCAGAGTTTCTTTATGTTGCCAGTATACTTGTTCTATCTTCTTGTTTTATCAGAAATGGGGAGAACATTCCATCCCACTTTGAAAACCGAATTGTTAACTGTTACCCAGACTGTTAGTCTTTGCCATCCATAACATTACAAGTGGAAATGCCTCAGTTTTAAGTCACGTATTGCTCCTTTTGAGAAGTTGGTCGTTCTTGGCAAAGAACATGAGCATGGCAACCAAACCGCACGATGTTACAGGTTTGATGGGACGTCAAAGTGCTGGAAGGGAGGGGCGCTGTCGCCTCGGGGGTGGTGGAGGGGGCGGACTTTCTCGCGCTGCAAACAAAAATATGAACAGGAACATTATATAGAAAATATGAACTCGCAATCTTTCCATACGTTCAGTATCAATAAAAAATATTGTAGATAATAACATGTATTAGTCCATCACATTACATATTTTATGGCTAACATATAATAAAATTGAAACTTAAACACCCAGGACAGGGGCGTACACAGCTTTTTGAGAAAGGGGTGGTGGGTGTGTGTGCACGCACTGGGGGTGCACGCTGCATTTTCACGAGAGTTTCAATGGTCGTTTGATAAACTTTAAGGTCAAAGGGTGGGTGGGTGGGTGCGGCTGCGCACCCCTGCACCCTCTGGATCCGCCTATGCAAGAATATAAGTTTATATTAACTTAAATATAGGAACATTATATCAATATCAAGGCGGGCGACACCAAAATGGCCTGTGGGGAACGAATCCGGGCCTTCGTCGTGACAAGCGCATGCTTAAATCAGAAAATGAGAAATGAAATACAGGATGTGACGTACGTTGCTTGGCAACAAGGGCACTTGGGTACGTCTTTTTGCACGGAGTATAGGGCTCGGGAAACGGCAACTCGAGGATTCCGTGAAATCTAAACCTAGCTTCGAAATCTGAAACAGCAAGGATCAATAAAATATTACATGTATATAATTTGTACGTGTCTGTACCTGAATCAAGTAGACGTTCAGGCCCACTTTCACAAAGCTATCTTAGGGCTACGATAACTCCCATACTGTAACATAGACTGTTAGATGGTCTTAGCGCTAGATCTATGTGTGCAAGTGGACTCTGACAGTGTATATATACTTGTACGTTTGACTGTACCTGAATCAAGTAGACGTTCAGGGCCCACTTTCACAAAGCTATCTTAGGGCTACGATAACTCCCACACTGTAGCATAGACTGTTAGATGGTCTTAGCGCTAAGATCTATGTGTACAAGTGGGCTCTGCCTTAACAGCTTGCACGCTGCCATATAGGCCATGAGCCAGACAATTTTTTCGGTACCACTCAGAGGGACCAAACACTTTTATGTTTTTTGAAGTTGTTATGGTCTCTAACTAAAAAAAAAAGTATGATGGCCATGTCGGTTTGGTAGCTCAAACTCAGAACGACGCTAAATCCAAGATGGCCGCCAAAAAACCCAACATTTTCAAAATATGTCAATTCCAAGCTTTAATTGTGAGTAAAGTTTAGCAAATGGGTTGGAAATGAAAATAGGGAGGTACAATTAGTGCTAACATGATTAAAAGGATTTAATTAATATCAAGTTGATTTATTTGATAAATTTAAATCATATTTTCACCTGGTTTTCAAGAGTCGAAATTGTAAGCTCAAAGAACATTTTCTAAAAATCATCATTTCATTTATTCTGAAGACAGCCTTTAACTTCAAATAGTGAGAGCACCTTCAAGTTACTTAAATTGGTTTGTCATAGTCACTGTTCCGCATCATAAAGGTCAGCTTCATCATCAGAGTCACTCGTCGGCATGTCATGGTCCTCACATACCATGTTGTCACAAGTCTGGTTCCGACATGTCACAGTGCATTTCAGTTCATTGGTAAGGCATTGACAACTTGGCAGTTTACAGACTATTGTGTACTTGCAAACAATGAACCCAAGAACAGCATTTGGAGCAAGAGGTCTTATCATCCAGCAAATCTCTATCTGATCATTTTGTTCCACCCATCCATGGCCATCTGTTGCCCGTGAAGTTGGATATTCAGCTTCCAGACAGTTGTTCCATATTGCAGCTTGATAGTTTGCTCTCAGGATGTGCACAGATAGACAATCAAAGCAGGGTGGCAATTGTCCTGATTTAATTGCCCCTTTTCTCACCTTACATAAGTGGTAGCGCAATTGATTGACAGCCCATATTTAAGAACTTGAGGCATACAGGCGGTATGTGAATGCTTGAAGTGAGTTGATCAAACCTGGTGGCACAGTCCACACATTTCCAAGTTGTTGGAAAGCCTCTTGATATCCCTTGCTGTTGAAGAAGTTTGAATGCATTGACCTTCACTCTGCCTCCAAAAGAACTGACAGTATAACATACAGTATATATGCGTGTAGTCCAGGAAGGGTCTTACAAACGCTTTGACATAAAACTGCAGCAACTTTCTTGATATCAATGAATCTCTGGCTATTTTTTGTACCAGCTTTGATGTAAATATTGGTTGCAATGTGAGTATTTTTTCAGCAGTTAGAGTGACAGTAACATTTCTTAAAGACACAAGATACGGCAGTTGAGTCAGCTTCTTACTTTATCAAAGAGCAAAACCAATATCATCCAGTTCATTGTTCAAAATCGCTAAACGTTCATTGATATCATGAAAGTTGCTGCGGCGTTTGGTCAAAGTGTTTGCAAGGCCTGTCCAGGACTACACGCATACACTGTATGTTATACTGTGTGTTATACTGTCAGTTCTTTTAAAGCAAAAGGGGAGGTCAATGCATTCAAACTTCTTCAACGACAAGGGATATGAAGAAACCTTCCAACAACTTGGGAATGTGTGGACTGTGCCACCAGGTTTGATTGACTAACTGAAGCATTTACATGCCACCTGTATGCCTCAAGTTCTTAAATATGGGCTGTCAATCAATTGCGCTACCACTTATTTAAGGTGAGAAAAGGGGCAATTGAATCAGGACAATTGCCACCCTGCTTTGATTGTCTATCTATGCACATCCTGAGAGCAAACTATCAAGCTGCAATATGGAACAACTGTCTGGAAGCTGAATATCTAACTTCACGGGCAACAGATGGTTATGGATGGGTGGAACAAGATGATCAGATTGAGATTTGCTGGATGACAAGACCTCTTGCTCCAAATGCTGTTCTTGATTTCTTTTTTTGCAAGAACACAACAGTCTGTAAACTGCCCAGTTGTCAATGCCTTACCAATGGACTCAAATGCACTGTGACATGTCGGAACCAGACTTGTGACAACATAGTATGGTATGACGAGTGACTCTGATGATGAAGCTGACGTTTATGATGCGGAACAGTGACTATCACAAACCAAGTTAAGTAACTTGAAGGTGCTCTCACTATTTGAATTTAACGAGCTGTCTCCAGAATAAATGAAATGATGAGTTTTCGAAAATGTTCTTTGAGTTACAATTTCGACTCTTGAAAACCAGGAGAAAATATGATTTAAAGGTATAATTAAACAAAACTTGATATTAATTAAATACGTTTAATCACATTAGCACCATTTTACCTCCCTTGTTTACATTTCCAACCTATTTGCTGAACGTTTCTCATGATAAAAGCTTGGAATTGACATTTTTTTAATATGTTGGGTTTTTTGGCGGCCATCTTGGATTGAGCCTCATTCTGAGTTTGAGCTACCAAATTGAGATGTCCATCATACATTTTTGATATATAGAGACACAAAGAAATATAAAAAGCACTAAAACTTTTGGTCCCTCTGAGTGGTACCAATATGTCAATTTTTCAGCTCCTGGCTCATGATAACAACCATGTCTGGACCAGACAATCCAATGATCAACATCATGAGCATCGATCTACGCAACTGGGATACTATGAGTCAACCAAGTCAGCGCGCCTGACCACCCGATCCCGTCATTCGCCTCTTACGACACGCATGAGTTGGTAAAGACAGAGCAGTGTACACTAGTGGGTGAGTGAGTTGGGTTTTACGCCGCTTTTAGCAATAATCCACCAATATCACGGTGGGGGACACCAGAAATGGGTTTCACACATTGTATCCATGTGGGGATCGGAACCCGGGCCTTCGGCGTGACTAGCGAACGCTTTAACCACTAAAGCGTTTGCTCGTCATGCAGAAGTCCCTGGAATATTGCTAAAATCGGCGTGAATCCATACTCACTCACTCTTCTCCTTACCTTATACTAGAATATTACCTAAACGCAGATAATTCAGACGCATATTCTGATTGTGTTTATTTTCTGCACACATTAGAGGTTGGGAGGCCAACAAGTTCAAGGGGTACGTAAAGTGGTGACAAATTGAAGTGTAGATCAGCTGACAGCTTGAAGTATTTGGTATCAAAGGCAACACAACTTGACACAAAGAGGAAGCTTGTTGTCGAGCTGCAACCACACGACTTTCCTCTTGTTTTTCTCTTTTCAACTTAAAGCACTGCCGAAGCTCATATTCAACGTTTGTTCAATCATATTGAATTACACAATGTAGGTGGGGGTGGGGGTGGGTTGTGGGGCGCTATTGCGCGCTAGAACTATGATACAATGTATGTAATTTCATCAGTTTCATAGGTTTAAAATTAATCTTGTAACGCTATTTATTTCTGTAGTTTCTGTAGTTATTTCTGTCCGTAAAATGCAACATACATCTAAAGTACATTATAAAATAATGCACAAGGTTCTCGAATATTCAAATAGGTATTCACGTGACCTCCAGCTAAAATAAGAAGAGTTGTCTTCCTTAGATGTGTCGGGATCCTATTTTCGAGGGTTTTAATTCCAGATTTGTCCTGATTATCATCCCTTATCATCTTCTTTCCTTTCTCTATTTGAGATGACGCGCCTATTCAAAGAGACATGGAACCTATTGACGCATCAACTTATTCTTTGTTTAAACACATACAGATAAAGAGCCACACATCCGTACTTCCCATTCTCCTTGTCCTTATCCGCATAGTTTTTGTGTGTTAGAAAATACACTGGGCCTGTACACCAATCAGTATCAGCATTGGTACATGTTGGACACGTATCTGAGTCCGATATTTTGATATCGGGCCGATATTTTCGGATGCTGATGGAACCACAGGGGCTTGTAACGCTAAAAACTGCCATCAAAGTATGTACTGTCACTAACGGGGTCATAGCAGCATATAATAGGATATAAATGTATTCCTTTTGTATAGTGCTAAGACCCAGTTAGTGACAGTACATATCTTGATGGCAGCTTTTAACGTTACAAGCCCCTGTGGGTGGAGGTGAGGTGAAATTGGGTTTAACGTCGTGCTTGAGAATATTTCGCTCACATGACGAAGCGTGTGTATGTGTATGTGCGGCTGCTTGTACTAGCCCAGACTGAAGCTGGTTTTATAGTGCTAGCCCACTGAGATACCATGCCGCAGTGAAGCGTGAATACCCCACTCAGACACATTATACTGACTCCGAGCCAACCAGTCCTTGTTGTACCCATTAATGCCGAGCGCCAGGCAGGGACCAACCCTGTGGGTGGAACCAGTGTTGCTAGGTCACATTCTTTTGCGAACCCCATACCTGTTCGTATGTCTACAACATTAGTTATGTGTAGATACGTGTAGAAGTATCTACAGACTAGAGTAATGGTAAATACGGACCCGGCCAAAAGGGGACATGTGTGATCCGGGGTTAAACCACCATTATACGTCATAATTAAGTAGGGCTGTGTATTGACAAATAAATTGTATTGCAATATATTGCGATTCAGATGCCCGTATTGCGATACGTATTGCATTATTTTGGTTAAGAGTTTTACAGTGAGTGACAATAATTGTGCATGTCAATCCTATTTTCTACATTATAAGTCCCTAAACATATATGTTATGGTTCTGATAACAGCAACTTCAAAATTAGGCTGCATAGTCAGAGTTTCTATTTCCTTTTTCATACAATTTATA